TATTAAAATACTTTTCATCTACAGAAACTTAAAATATTTGTTAGCATCACTCGGGAAAAAAATTTGTTTTGTTTTTCTCTTCCTCGTGTCAAATACAGTTACTTATTAAATCTTGGTGAGCATTTTTTCCTGTGTCTGGCCTGGAACCCACTATATAGACCAGGCTGGGATTAAAGGTGTGTGCCATCAGGCCTCACATCATCAGCTGCTCACATATTCTTTTGCCTGTGGAGATGCCTGCATAGTGTTCAAGAGCCAAGCTTGTTTCAGCCACACACATAAATATCTAAACAAAATAAACACTTTTATTGTAGGAATAAATCTAGCCTTTTATGTGATTTGGAGGTAGGAAAGGGTCCATCACAAATGAGTCATTAATCATCTTTAGTCATTCTATTTCAAGAAAGTTTCCCATGTTAAGAGATCTGTCAGCAATTTGCTGTGAAACTTCAGTGAATTTAGCAGTCTGAAACTGAATATTGGGTTGGAGGGGGACAGCTCAACAGTTAAGAATACTTGCTGCTCTTCCAGAGGACCCAAGTCGTTTTCCAGCACCCATATGGTGGCTAACACCTGTCCTTAACTGGAGTTCCATGGGATCTGACCTCCTCTTCTGGCCTCCTTGGGTACTAGACATGCATATGTGTACTTACATACATGCAGGGAAATCACTCATTCATAAAAAATAAAGATAAAGGTCTGGAGAACTGGCTCAGCAGTTAAGAGCACTGGCTGCTCTTGCAGGCCAGGATTGGTTCCTAGCCCCCACATGGTGGTTAACAATCACCCTTAACTCCAGTTCCAAGGGATCCAACGCCCTCTTTTGGCTGCTGGGCATTGTATGATACAGGTGCAAGTACTTATATGCAGGCATTATACTCATGCACATGAGTAATAAATACATATTAAAAATAAACTGAATACTTTTAGAAAGTAAATTCCCATTTAGGTGCATTATTCCTTTTTACTACTTTTAATTTTTCAGGTCTTTGAGTTGTGTGTTTTGGTCCTTGAGTCAAATGTTTTAAAAAATATAAATGCTTTAAAACTTTTAAGTGATTATTTTCATTGATGAAAGCTCTGAGGTTAATGTATGGGTGAAATAAGCATTCTAAGATTTAAAAGGTTTTAAGTTAAACATTGTTAGTAGCAGCTTCTCTTTTGTCTTCCTCCCAAAACTATAGGTATTTACCTCCTGAGTGTTTTGTAGTTGGAAAAGAGCCACCAAAGATTTCCAACAAGGTTGATGTATGGTCAGTTGGAGTCATCTTCTTCCAGTGTCTCTATGGTAGAAAAGTAAGTTATATTAGCTTCAGCTGTGTAGAAATAGGATGGACGTTTCCTTTTAAGTGTTAACTTGGAATCAGTTTAGAGCCTTCTAAGGAAAGGCAGTTTCTTTATGGCTTCCTTAAAGCAGAACTATTTTAACATACCACTAATTTATTTGATTGGCCTCTCTCCCCCTCCCTTTCCCTTTTTAACTGTTATCAGCTTAAACATTTTCTGTAGTGCTCTGGGGTTGAGTACTTCTCAGTGTTTCATTCTTAACTCCCTCCCTTCTCCATAAACAGTTGTCCTGGACAGTTTCCCCTGTGACGACTCAAAGAAATACCATCAAACTTCGTCTTATTTTTTTTTTCTAAACTTCTGTTAATATTGATGTCAGAAATGCAAGTTGCCTTCTATATTGTCTAGTCCATATCTAATCCCATCTATCAGTATGGGAAGCAAAGTAAGGGAACTTATATAGAAATTTGCAGCATGTGAAGACCAACACCAGATCTCCTGGTTTCAAATCTAGAGCTGTTTTATATTATATCTTATATTGCAACAATATTAGTTTCTTCTCCATCTTACTGTGGTATACTGATTGAATAGGCTTTCTAGGGTTACTGTTGGTTGCGAGACCATGTCCCAACTTTCAAGTAACTGAGGATGAGAATTTAGAATACAAATCGTTTGTTTGGTAGGACTCAGTGATGATATCTTTGTTTTAAATATCTTTTTTCAATTTTTTATTCTGCCTTTTTTTTAAAGCCATTTGGCCACAATCAATCTCAACAAGACATTCTTCAAGAAAATACAATACTGAAAGCCACAGAAGTCCAGTTCCCTGTAAAACCAGTTGTAAGCAGTGAAGCCAAGGTATTAAACTCAAATTTTGTGAAGTGACTTTGAATTGTGACTGCAGTACGGTAAATGCCATCAGTAAACACAGTGGCAGGAATGGCCACTGCAGTGGGGCTAGCGATGTGCTCTGGAGGAGCTGCTTCTGCCTTTGTGCTGGTTTTCACCTTTAAGTACCCACGTAATGCTTCCTCGTTCTTTGTGCACACACATCAACTTGCTTTAAAAATTAGGGAGAAATAGCCGTGCCTGGTGGCACATGCCTTTAATCCCAGCACTCGGGAGGCAGAGGCAGGTGGATCTCTGTGAGTTCAAGGCCAGCCTGGTCTACATAGTGAGTTCCAAGACAGCTGGGGCTACAGGGAGACCCTGTCTCAAAAAGACCAAAAAATAAAAAAATTTTAAAAATCAGGGAGAAGTCACAAGATCTGGGCCCTTCGTTACCTTTTAGGTCTTGCTCCGTCAGCCTATATTAATGCTCAGATGTTTAAGTGTATAAGAATTTAAGTACTAATAGATACCTTTTCTTTAGTGCATCTATGTTCATTGTCTGTTATTATTTGGCAAAATGGGAAATCAGCCACAGCATGGCAGAATACCTTGCTTAGACTCTTGTGCCTAGCATAGCATGGCTCAGGTATCCACTCTTGCCAGACTCCAGAATCCACAGACTCCTTGCCCTCTGTGCCTCCCTGCAGTGGATCCCAAGAGTTAATCAGTATAATCCGCATAGGTCTAGTCACCCAGTTCTAATCCACATGTGTGTCTCTTTAGTAAAATAATGAAGAACAGAATCAATTTATAGCAAGCCCTTTTTGATACTGAATATTTTTCTGCTTTCTATTGGCCCTTCATAATTGTATTTTTAGTCCTGTTTTATACTCATCACAAAACTTATTTTTCTACAACTCTATTAGAATCTTTTTAAAATTATCATCAAATTCATAAGAAAAGCTCACAAAATTCCTGTATTTTCTGGTTTGAACACTCTAGGCCATAAACTGACTAGAATAGCTCTGAATGAGAGGTGCTTCCCCCTGGAGTCACACTTAGCTATCTCTGCTTATATGTTCCACAGTCACCTTTTTGGCATTTTGATTCCAGGAAAGTTAGTTGAGATGGTTCCACATGGTGTTGGTCTGCTTGTTTGAAGAACCTCTTACCTCTACAGAACACATCTTGGTCAATCTTGACTACGTTTACTAGTTGCTGACTTCTTAACCTTACTGTTCATGAATAGCTTCTTATTACCTCAAACTCTGCCTTTCAACGCATCAGTCACCTTTGATTTGATTTTCCAGATATCATTTCACAAAGTGAATACTGAAAATCTCTGTAAGAGATCAGATAGACATTTAATAATTTAATCATGGTAAAATAGAGTAACTGATGTGTTTTTAAAGAATTTTTCTTTTAGTGAATTTCAAAGCAAAGAAAGTAGAAAATAGTTATTTTTATGTGAGTAAACATAGCTTTATTGATTTTTTTTTTTCTTTTGGTTTTTTGTCTTTTTTGAGACAGGCTCTCACTATGTAGCCCTGGCTGACCTAGAACTCATTGTGTAGACCAGGCTGACCTGGAAACTCACAGAGATCCTCCTGCCTTTGCCTCCAGAGTACTGGGATTAAAGATGAAACACTACCATGCCTGGCCTAGAAGTATGAATTTTAAGACAGGCTAACATTTTTGATGTCAGCAATAAGACAGGGAGACAGTTATAAATTATCCCTTCAGAAGAGTTTATCTGTGACTAAAAGACCAATGAATTTTACAAATACAATATTAAAGAGCTGGGCGTGGTGGCACATGCCTTTAATCCCAGCACTTGGGAGGCAGAGGCAGGTGGATCTCTGTGAGTTCAAGGCCAAGCCTGGTCTACATAGTAAATTCCAGGCCATCTGGGGCTACAGGGAAACCCTGTCTCAAAGAGGCCACCAAAAAAAAAAAAAAAAAAAAAAAATCCAAATATATTGAGTAAAAGAAGGCAGGGACATACTCTAATTCCATTTCCTTGATGGTCTGAGCAAAATTCAACTGTGGCAGAAATTGTGATAGGTGTCACCCTGGTTCCATTGGGGGATGTGCACAGAAGCTCAGGAGGCCCTGAGAATGTTCTTCTTGAGGTGGTTGCCAGTTTCATAGACATGTTCACTTTGTGCTGTACAACGTACAATTACGTGCTTTTCTAAGTATGTTAGATCCCATAAAGGTTGTCACAAGCTCTTCTCTGGGAATAGAGTCGGGGAAAGATAGTGACTATACCCATTACTTAACGTTAACTGTTAATCTAGGAAACAAACCCTAATGGGAGTGTCTTGTCAGTGTTTCACCTACAGACAGTTGTGTTAAATCAGAAGGAAAGATGAAAGTTAAAAATGGCTTCTTAGCATTTGACCAAACAAAACTGATCACAAACTGGGATGATACTTCTGTTAGCATTTTTCTTCTGCTAAACAATGAAGTCTTGAGAATTTTTTATAAGCAGAAATGGAAGTTTCCAGCAGTACATCCAAAGGAAAACAGTAACAATTTAGTGGCACTCAGGGTTGTCAGTGGAGGTTTCACATTGGAGGAATTTTATTGTTTACCTCCAGAATTAGTGTAAATGTCCTATAAAATACGATCTGTTTGTAGTAGCCATTGTGTCCATCCTTCTGTAGGGCTTGGTGGATTGGTGTTGAGAAGGTAAAAAGATCCATTTTAATTCCTGGCTGACTTTCTTTTTTAAAGGCCTTCATAAGACGCTGTTTGGCATACCGAAAAGAAGATCGATTTGACGTGCACCAACTGGCAAATGATCCATACCTTCTCCCACACATGAGAAGATCAAATTCTTCAGGAAACCTACACATGTCTGGGCTGACAGCATCTCCTACACCTCCTTCTTCAAACATACTTACTTACTGACTCTCCTCCAAGATTGGCATGATCTTTGATTGGCTTCCAATGCATACTTGAATTTGAGAGCATTTGAGTGTTTCTGTTTTCCATTTTACACAAGACATGGTTAAGAACTCTTTGTGAACCTAAGTCCTTTGTGGAGTCTCTTGTGTGAGAGTGCATTGTGAACAGTGAATGAGCACACACACCTCACTCTGACCTGGAGCAGTGAAACAGGAATACCATGCTGAGAAGAAAGGGAGGGTGTTTTTGTTTATTTAGTGGAACACTGTAAATAACGTTTATAATACTTAAATATATTTGATTGTTACTAGAGAGTTCTAATATGAAGGGTAGTTTTTCATTATTTAAAAACACATGGAAAAATATGAAACATATTTCTAACACAAGAACTACAGTGCCTGGATACATCTTCAGCATTCAGCAGTTAATCTGCTGAAACCAAAGTAAGAACTGAGTGATGGTGACCGTTGTGTTTTATAAAAATAGAATGTGAGAGTTAGAATCTTTGGGCAAAGTTAGACTTTGTCATTTGCCTATTGTGGTTTTTACCAAGTTGTACCTCGAAATCATATGTCCGGTTTTCCCTACTGGTTATGTTAAAGGGACAGCTGTTACTCCTAGATCCTTCACACCTTTAACAAAAAGAGCTGCCTATTCTGAATCAGTTGAAGTCACTAAATTGTAGTATCTCCAGTGCTTTCAATATTTTAGAATTGTTAACAGGCATTTTTCTTTTGTCACCAGGCTTTGTCCATTAAGACAAGAGACAGTGTATAACCAAAAGCAGACCAGTTCTATGCAGGATAATGATAAATTCCCTTCTAGCTCTATTGTAAATTGTTGTACAGATGTCGTATTTCAATTACTAAGTTTCAGCAGCTTATTCTTGTACAAATGTTTAAAAATATGGCTTTTCTAATTGGATATTGTATTTTTTTTAAGTCTTCTTGAAGGCGCTTTAATTGCTGCTAAATAATGTTGCTTTTTTGCTATAAAAAAATTGAATGACCTCCTTGAAGGTGCAACTTGACTATATATCATAGAGAGATAATTAAAAGCAGGCATTCATTAACAATCAAGGCATGTAAAATCCATGTTGGGCATATTGAGTTCTTTAAATCAGTTTCTTGGGTTCTAGGGCTGTGGAGCATATAGATACTAGACTTATAAATTGTTCATGGTTATTCTACATTTCTAGAAGGTTCTTAGCATCATGGTGGGATGATGATCCCGTAGGAAGTTTCTTGTGGTTTGTACAGATTTGTTAAAATGTGAACATTTTCTAACTGCCTTGTATAGTAGAAACCAATATTTTGAGGATGCTGTATTTCATTCCTGTAAGGGTTTTTTTTTTTCTTTTCTTTTTCCTTCATTGTCACATTCATAATGCTGAGACTTACATGTAAGTTGTCCGTGTTGGAGAAAACTGAGGCTATACCTACCAGATTTCCCTTAATATTGTACAGTTTAAACTGTGGCTCTTATCTGATGTTGCAAGCCATTTTTTTCATTGTACATAGACACATTGTCTCTTTAAGATGCTGCTGGAATTATAGAGAATGTAGCCAAAACAGTAATAAACCATGACAGTTAAAATGTAAAGACTGTGAAAATTACATTCAAAGAGAGCTTTTTAAGATTTAAGACACTGACCAACTTTTAACTCCTTAAGAATCATCTGGATAAATTCCTTAAGCATACTCTTAAGTATAAAGTGTTTCAAGCTGTTAAACTTAGCCCTGATAACCATTATCAAGGCTAATCCTGGGTAAAATTAGCACAACCAGGGTGGCTTAGGGCCATACCTCTTCTGTAGATTAAAATAAAAACCCCTTAAGAACATGGACGTGATCACAAATGGTGACATGATCACAAATGCTTGTAGTTGTACCTGTAAGTTTACATTCTGAATTAAAAGAACATGCCCAGTTTTGTTTAAAATTTTGGTGAGGTATAATGTTGATGTGCAAGTCCAGCCTGAGGTTGAGTTGACAGTTCAGATAGATCACAGATTTCACCGCAGTATTTTCAAATGAGAGTAACTGCTAGCATCAGAATGTCTAAGAGTCTGAGGCAGGAAGATCATGAGTTTTAAGACCAGCCTGGACTACATAGAAAGACCCAGACTCAATAAATAAATAAAATGTGGGGGGGGTGAAAAAGGAGAAAATAGCTTGACTTGAATCTTAAGTAATCATTTCAGAATCAAGAGTATATGTGAAGGGCTGGCAAGATGGCTCAATGGGTGAGGAAGGACCCGTTCAATCTCTACAGCCCACATGGTGGAAGAACTGTAGTATAGCACACCACATCACACGTGCCCTCCACACACACATAAAAGAAAGAAGACTTACCCATGTCATCTAAAGTTTTTCCCAATATGCTATGGATTTAGATAACCTACTGTAATTGGGCTAAATGGACCAGGGTCACCTTCACAAGATGCAGCTAGTGTCTTGCTGAATAATTTCCATTTACTCTGGCAGGCTTTGCTCATTTCTTTTGAGGCTTCAGTTTTTTTAGGCACAGTTCACACTTAGCCTTTTAAACTTGGCTTACAAAGAGAGTGTAGTTCAGTGTCCCAGCACCCCACCCCCCATCCCCCACCCCCAATACATTAGTCTGAATCAGTGTGTGGAGGCTGAGAGGAAGTGTAGACACTGTGTGGTGATGAGAAGTTGGGGGTGGAAACACGCCTGATTGTTTCAAAAATAATGGTTTGAATTATGTTTTTCCTTATGGCTGTTTTCTTTTTCTAAAAAAAAAATGAGTTTAAAATGTGAACATAGACTTCTGCAAGTACCTCATTATGGAAGTCAACATGGAGATGGTAGCACGTCAGTGAAACATCACCAAGTGCATTGTACTATTTTGATGTTTATTAACTATTAAATAGTGTCGATTACTCTCAGATCCTACTAGCTATATTTTAGTGAAAATGTGGTCTATTTATGTTGATAGTTTAATGATTTAATTACATCGCTGTTTGATTTTTTTCATGAAAGAAATATAGCCTTATACCTTTAAAAGCATATTGGCAAGTCTTCTCTAATTCCACTTTAAATTTCCACATTATTTGATCATTTTTCTTCCAAATATACTAAATTTCAGTGTTTTGAATATTTAACCTAATTCAAAAAGTGCTTTTGCAACTAGTTTTTAAATTTAATTATGTAAAAATTCTAGTTCTTGGGATTTAGTTCATCCTGTAACAGTTTTCAAATTTATGTAACTTGTTAGTCTTCTGATTTGAATTGGCTTTCTTGCCCAAAACACATGCATTCCAATTACCTTGCCTTTTCCCTCCATACCTACCTACCTACCTGCCTGCCTCCTACTTACCTACCTATTTAGACAGGGTCTTGTTATATGGCCAGGCTGACCTCAAAGTTAACGACGATCTTTCTACAACAGCTTTCAAAATGCTGAAATTGTAGGTGTGTGCCACCACACCCCATAAGAAACTTTTTAAATTGGAAAGATTTGATTGTGTATAAATACCTTTCAAACATTTTCAGGGGCTGGGCCTCATAGACCTTTAATCCCAGCACTTGGGAGGCAGAGGCAGGCAGGCAGGCAGATGGCTCTCTTGAGTTCAAGACCAGCGTGGTCTACATAATGAATTACAGGCCAACCAGGGCTACAGTAGTGAGACCATGTCTTCAGAATTTTCATAGAACCAGACAAAAACTGGTAGAAAGTTTCAAGTGAAGGGTCTGGAGAGATGGCTCAGTGGTTAAGAGCACCCGCTGCTCCTACAGAGGACTGGGGTTCAGTTCCCAGCATCCTCCCTGGCAGGTAACCACCATCCATAACTCTGGTTCCAAGGGAACTGACGCCTTCTTCTGGCATAGGTGCACTTATGTAGGCAAAACACTCATAAAAATTTTAATTTTTTTAAATTTAATAACCACGTGATTAGAAGAAGCATTTCATTACAGCTTTAACATATTCAGTAACACATTCCAGAGCAAGGATACATCTCTTTCAAAGGTGGCTGTAAATTTTTAGGTTCGCATTGAATTAATACAGTTATACAATATTGAACTCAGTATAAACCCTGTAAGACAAAACTGAATGAGTTCTTACCCTTTGAAAAATATCTCCATTTTAAAATGCGCTGTTTCCTACATTTTTAATGCTACTGACACTTAGATGTTTGCACATGTGTCTTTAATCTCTATATCTGATTATTACTAGTCACAGTCGATTACACTCGGATCCTTAGTACCTGAGTCATCAGGTAGATTTCACTGGTAATGTTTATCACCTCTACTATTTAACATGAAGTAAATTTTTATGCTTCCTCCTCAAATATGTTTTTTTTAAATTTTCTTGCGTGTGTATATCATACAGAACATTCCATACAATCTTATTCATCTATATACCCACTTCCCAAATGGCACCCTCCCATAGCATCCCCCCTCCTACATACTGGCACCCATATACACTGTCATCCCTGTTTCTGTCCACTGTGTTGTCGGCACCCCCAGCCATTCCCCAGTGCTTGTCCGTCTGCTGAATCTAGTCAGCCTGTCTAGAGCACCTTGTTTTAGGAAGATCAGCTGTTCCTCATCTAGCAGCAATTAGTTCTCAATAGTCCTTTAGATAAGATTGGGATCTGCTGTTCATTTTCCCAGTTCTATGCTGGGTTACTGTCTGGGAGTCTTTTTGGGCCACCCTGGCCGACAACTCAAAGGAAGGTGTCTCCTGTCTGGCATTGTTTCTTGTTACGGAGCCTTTAGCTATACATATGGACTCTTAAAAATTATATTGACCCCCATTAATCTTTGGTTATACTTTCCTCTTGGGTGTTTAAGATCCTACAGTTGGCCCAGATAAAACAATTTGTTTTTACTCATAAGTTCATTTGAGGATCTGTTACTCAGGGGTCACATGGGCTTGGGAGGAGCCCCTGGCTCCTTTCTTTTACTAGTTCCGTCTATGTGAAGACAAGTCAAATGTCCTGCTTGATCATGGCTGGCTTCACTTGGAAGCATGGAGGAAATGTTTCCTCTGTGCTAATTTTAAAAAATAAATAGAAACACTCAACGTTAATGTTCCTTTTAAAAAATTCTCAAGACCGTGATGTGTGGCTTTTGATGGACGCCTAGCCCCATCTCCTTTCAGCACTGAGTTAATGTGAACTGTCTGCATATAGTACACTTACCTACTGTAAGGGCAGTAAGACATAACTAAGCAAAATTTTAGATCCAGATTCTTTGTGTCCATATGTTGACCACTGTTTTAGGTTCTCTGTCAAAAAATGAGGCTAAGATCTCTTTCTTGGAGTGCTGTGAGGAAGTATTCACAGCTTTCAGAAGGAGGTCTACTGTTTAGTAAATGCCAGTTTAAGAAGCTGCTTTTCAAGACTCAGAGATCATTGCTTTCACCTTATGCATAAAATGCAATCTGCTTTGGTTCTTGTGATAATTTAAATTCCTTCAGGAAAAAGGTGTTTTGCAAGGCTTGACTCAAGTTTCAAGGAAGAAATGATTAGATTACCTGGAAATGGAAGGTGAGCAATGTAGGAATTTGAAAACAGCAATTTGAAGAGGAGAAAACATTGTGACTGTGGGCTGCAATTGCCAAGAGAATGGTGCCTTGACCGTTTCTGCCATTTCCTCAGAGGCAGTTCTGCACTCGGCAGGGTTTTCTGTCCTAGTACTAGCCATTTGAAGTAGGATGGACAGATGATCTGTCTACAAAGCAGTAAACAGCTTTGGAGAGTATATGTTGGTTGCTGTGTGATCAGAAGCAAAGCAGTGAAGCTGGGCATGGTAACCCATACCTGCAATCTCAGCAGTATGGAGTTGGGGACCAGCATGGGCTACAAAGAAAGACCCTGTCTCAAAAGGAAAACAAAAGCAAACCCACTAAATAAAACCACTCACTTTTGGAACCCCACAGTGGGGTTTTAACATTTTCTTTACTGTGAACATGAGTCATAAGTAGTTGTAAATTTTCAGTGATGAAAGGCACAAAGCCAGCAGCTACAAGTGTGATTTTTGCCATAAAAGAGAAAACAAAGAATTCTGGTGTCAGGTCAGGAATGTCCTCAGAGCAAACCATTGATGGCAGCCAGTCATGAGAGCTGCATCCTGTCCAAGCTCACTCTAGGTAGGGTGGGAATGTGTTGCTGACCATTGCTGTAACCATTCCTGCCCCCACTCCTGTTTCCTTGACTCCTGCAGTCAGATGAGTCCGTTCTTCAGCAGGCCTTGGGTGCCTTCCTCAGTGAAGCTTTCAGGCTGCTGTTGACCCCTCAGAAGAGCACAAAGTAGCTTCAGGCTCCTGACAGTTGGTGTCTAGTAAACTTTGGGGCCCTGGAAATTGGGGGAAGCTTTACTAGTGTCTCTCCAAGTCTTAGTACTGACAGATGACCCCCCTGTGAGGTGCTCAGCACAGCCTTACATGCATAATCCTGACCACTGACTGGCTGGAACAGGGTTTCAAACTCATGTGTAAAGTTTCATTTAGTCCACTTAAAGGCTCTTAAGACTGTTCCTGAAACCATACCTTTTGAGCCAAACAGATGTATGAGCCCAACCTCCCACGTGTGTTCACTGTGTGGTATATCCACTTTAAATTCCTTCCACTCATCAGGGAAACACCAAGGACTTTTGTAGGACAGGACAGCTATCAGACAGTACAATTAATTACTGAAGAATGAGTATGTTAACAGTCATATATTGGGTGTTTCAAATGGTCATAGGTCATATTACATCCTTCTGTCTGCTAGACCAAATCATTAACTTCTTTTGAAGAAGCACTCAGAAAAGAAAAAAAAAAAAAAGACTGAAAAGTGGAGAAATCTTGAGTTTGGAGCTGGTTTGCCTCCCGGATTACTTAGTTTGTGGCCTTAGTCTCTTCTCTGGGAGGCTTACTTTCCACATCCATAAACTGTTCTAACAGCCCCTTGTATGGCACTAAGGTTCCTGGGGAGATATTGGTGAGCAAATGTCTACTCACCCCAGACAGAACCAACAACAGATCAAAATTAAGGATTGCACCAAAATCCGGCTTGGTGAACCAATGAGTTTTTCTGGGTTTATTTACCAGGTGAGGGGTTCTTTCTCATGTGTCCCCCATCTACCCTAGCACACTCAGCTTTGGTAAGGTTGGCGCCTCCATCTAGGAGGTGCAGGTCTGGGTGGCTTGGTCTCTGTTTCCTAGGCTAATGTTCCTTTAGGGCCGCTCCACTGATTTCAAGCCACCATGGATATAAACACTGGTGGCTTTCTGGACTGTATCAAAAAGGTTATGATCTCGATCTGACAGTGAATTTTAGTTTACCAGTAGGGATTACTCCTTCAGTTTGTAAGCACCTTTTTGAGAAGCACTGAATACCTACATGCATAGTTTAGTCTATAAATCTTTAAAAGAACTTGTTCTTGGACAAACAACTGCAGCATTATGAGAAAATGCATGCCAAAAGACAGCATTTCCCAGATGGTCACCAAGACATTTAAACTGTGTGTGTGTGTGTGTGTGTGTGTGTGTAATCAGCATTATTTTTATCTCCATATATCCTGACCTTTGGCCAAAAATATGTTTTAGTTTCTTGACAAGAAATAGTGTTTGGGTGGGGGGCGGGGGGACTACTAAAATGTAATTTAAAGTATCTTGTATTTTGATAATTTTTGAAAACTAAAGGAAGATCTTAACCTTGAATAGTAAATTGGCTGATTTGTAAGGATCATTTAGAGAAAATAATTGACTTTCTCATAGCATGTGTGGAACATGTTCATTCTGCTAATGACCATGAAATGGTTCAAGTCATTCATGTTACATGGAGAAGTTCATTGCATAAATTTAACTCCTTTCCACATCGCTGGAAAAAGCCGTACTCAGAGATACAATGTGGAAAACATAAAGGCTCACCCTAGGAAACTTCTCGGTTCTACATGAGTTAGAAGAACAAGCATTCCGCATTCATTAGTGGCCTGGCACAGGAAGATGCAAGCGGCAACAAAGTGTCTTGTTTTGAACTTGTAATAGAAAACCTCCAGAAGGTTCTTTTTCCTATTTCATAGGCCAAGGACAT